TGTGGGAGCAATCATCAGAAAATGGAAGACATACAAGACCACTGATAATCTCCCTCGATCTGGGGCTCCACGCAAGATCTCATCCCGTGGGGTCAAAATGATCATGAGAACGGTGAGCAAAGATCCCAGAACCACACGGGGGGACCTGGTGAATGACCTGCAGAGAGCTGGGACCAAAGTAACAAAGGTCACCATCAGTAACACACTACAACGGCAGGGAATCAAATCCCGCAGTGCCAGACGTGTTCCGCTGCTGAAGCCAGTGCATGTCCAGGCCCGTCTGAAGTTTGCCAGAGAGCACATGGATGATACAGCAGAGGATTGGGAGAATGTCATGTGGTCAGATGAAACCAAAGTAGAACTTTTTGGTATAAACTCAACTGGTCGTGTTTGGAGGAAGAAGAATACTGAGTTGCATCCCAAGAACACCATACCTACTGTGAAGCATGGGGGTGGAAACATCATGCTATGGGGCTGTTTTTCTGCCAAGGGGACAGGACGACTGATCCGTGTTAAGGACAGAATGAATGGGGCCATGTATCGTGAGATTTTGAGCCAAAACCTCCTTCCATCAGTGAGAACTTTGAAGATGAAACGAGGCTGGGTCTTCCAACATGACAATGATCCAAAACACACCGCCCGGGCAACAAAGGAGTGGCTCCGTAAGAAGCATTTGAAAGTCCTGGAGTGGCCTAGCCAGTCTCCAGACCTCAACCCCATAGAAAATCTGTGGCGGGAGTTGAAAGTCCGTGTTGCTCGGCGACAGCCCCAAAACATCACTGCTCTCGAGAAGATCTGCATGGAGGAATGGGCCAAAATACCAGCTACTGTGTGTGCAAACCTGGTAAAGACCTATAGTAAACGTTTGACCTCTGTTATTGCCAACAAAGGTTATGTTACAAAGTATTGAGTTGTATTTTTGTTATTGACCAAATACTTATTTTCCACCCTGATTTACAAATAAATTCTTTACAAATCCTACCATGTGGAGTCATGGATTTTTTTCCACATTCTGTCTCTCACAGTTGAAGTGTACCTCTGGTGCAAATTACTGACCTCTGTCATCATTTTAGGTGGGGGAACTTGCACAATCGGTGGCTGACTAAATACTTTTTTGCCCCACTGTACCTGGTATTAACTCTCCCTCCTTTATGTTGGAGATGTTTTTGGCTCCAGGGCTGCCCAACCCTTTGGACCTACACAGCAGTGTACCACTATGACTCAGCTCTTAAGGAGATGTACAATTTGGATCAAGTGCAAGACCAGTCAGTAGGCCAGTGCTCCACCACTACGGTCCAGACTGAAACTTCTACACCTAACTAGCCTCCAAAGATAGCATGGTAAGTATAGAACAAAACACAAGCAGAAAGGGGTCAAAGTTGAAAAGCTGGTCATCTAAAACCTGTAAACAGATTCATAAATGATTATTACAACTGTAAAATTCCTTAGGGATGTTATTAAAAAATGCAAATCATTTTAAAACTACTTCATATAAGTCACTGCGATACTGACCTAATTACTGAGTAATAATTGGTCTATAACTTTCCTTCTAAGCTCTCATTTCATGAAACACTAAAACTGAATTGATAAGAAGTTTGATGATAACAGGTAGTAAATATCAATTAGCTATGGGTGTCTTGCTGTTAACAGTAAAATATGGAATTATAGTGAAATGTTTGCAGCCTAAATAAAGCTTGTTAAAACATACATGATCTCTCTCTGCTCAACTGTCTGTTGCCCTTGTGGCTTATTCACTACCCTTATAGATATGACTTGCAGGATTAGCCCCATGTTTACTGTTCAGGTTAGTATTCAGTGAGTTTCCACAAGAAGACTGCAGAAACATCTGACAGATTTCAGCAACACTGTAGCTGCCAATTTGCTTTTTTCTCTTTTGTTAAAAAACCCCTTTATCGTGAAATTAAGCATCACATTACCTCGGTAAATGAAATAACAAAAAGCATCTGATCATGACTCACTTTTGACCAAAGGCTACTTTGGTTTGGTTTGTTTCTGCAGACCTGTAATATATTTGAGGTTTTAACCTCGCGGTCCTCACTGACTTTGAGACTTCCTCAAACACCACCATGCCAAAACTTCTTTGGTTTTTTCCAACATGTCTAAACAGCCATGAGATGGACTGTTACATAATGTGGTACACGCATTCATGCCGCTCAGAGGAGTGATCCTGATGACTTCCACTGATCTGCTGCTTTTGTCTTTCAGTAAAAAAAAGAAAATTAAAAATGACTGAAAAGTTACGCCAGCAGCCCCTTGCACCCAGAATGTGGCCTTCCTTCCTTTAGAACAACATTTAAAATATACATAGACAAAATAAAGAAATAGCCCTAAAACATTTTGTTTCTATAACATGTCATATCTTTTTGAGAAGCACAGATTAAGCTACCTTCTTCAGTGCTGCTGTACTCGAGCTGTGTTTGAATTACAGCTCCTGGGTCGTTGCTGCCCATTTAAATAGTGCTGACCTGTTAACTGGACTGCACCATGTTTCTCTGGCAGTGGGGGCAGTGGTGATATTTTATCCTTTGTTTGCTTTGTTGATCTTCGGCAGCTTAAACTGACAGTGTTTGTTTGTTTGTTTCAATACTCATGTCTTAGTTTATCCTCCTTTTGTGTCTTAGTAAGGTTGTGTTGCTGGATTCTTTCACTTGATGCTTGAGGTAGATTTTGGCCTCAAATTATTATCAAATAGTGTCATATTAATTTTATGTCAGTAAAATTTAAAACATTTTTCAAAATCTCCTGTACATGAAAAAGTCTACTTGGTCAGAGGGAATTATGCTGCACGTTAACAGATGACAACCACCAGAATCAGGAGGAATCATCCTCTGGAGAGGATGCGCTCACTGACAGCATCGTCAAGCCATGATTGTCTCATGACAGATGTAAACACAGTGATGTCTGTGATACTGGTCAAATACTGGAAGTCACTCCGTAACGCCTCAGCAAAACCAATCGCACCTCTAGGACGGTGACACTTCCTCAGGATTACAGTTACTCAAGTTGCCTGCGACTTGCTGTCACTTCTACTTTGCACATGATTATTTACGTCAGCCTTCTCATGAACCTGCAGGGAGACTCTTTTGTCTAAGCTTTGACCAGATAGGACATCCTGTTTTATTCAGCGCCAGACACACATTCAGTTTCACTGCCATCGTACGCCCTGTTTGAGTTCATCCAAATTCAGAACTGTGTGACTTTAAACACAAAGGACATTTTAGTTTCACGCATGCCTTCCTGACAGCATCGCTTCATTTCACTGCACTATTCAAAGCAGCTGTTTGAAAGATTAGGAAGCATTGAGACATTTCTTTGCTGCATCATTACTGGCTAAAAATTTTAAATTCCAAGTTGGAAACTGGGCTCAGTACTACATATGAATGACATACTTGCCAAAATATGTCATTGATATTTTAAGGCTGCTGAAAAAAACACTGCCTTTGCTGTAACGTTTTGTCAAAATATATCCAACAAATGAAAAACACCCACATCAAATCCATCTGTAAAGCACATTACCATACATTCTTAAAATAGCCTTGCATATTCACCAGAAAGAAAGAAAGAAAGACAAAAAACTGAAGGGTTGGCCCCGCCCCCTTTAATGCAACATTAGTTATAAAACTCTCCAGCACATGTGCAGTGACCCCCAGCTGCACATGTTCCTCCTCCCTGAATGAGATCATCAAGTTTGTCTCTTTGGTATTGTCTCAAGTTCAAGTTTGAACGTTTTAGGGCTCAAACATTAGCATTAAATAATTCATTAAAAATGAAAAACATATTAAGAATATTTAGTTTAGTTTTACTTTGTCAGTAATCATTCAAATGATATCAAGCACATCACTAATGAGTTGCTGATACTTGAATTCAATGAAAAAAAATGACACAAGTGCTCCATTCAAGATAAGAGGATTATCAGCCAAACGCATAAAAAGTAACGGAAAAAGTGCTGATAAGCACAAGAACCGGACAGTTTACTTTCATGAATATGTTAATGATGTGTTGCATCTTTGCTTAAAGGTTTACGATCATGTTTTACATGTAAAATGTGAAGTAATTTTAACTCGGGTGTAGAGATAGCTTCTTTTTTCACTGCCTGAAATTACAAATACTAAAAGTAAAAGTACCTTAAAACCACATTTGAGTGCATGTGAGAAACGCATCGCGTTACTGTGCAAACTGTTAATCAGAAGCAGCTTTACAGACTCTCCTGTTATTATTGTAAGTACATAAAAAACGCTAAGCAAGAGCACGCAGGCGCGAACGCGCGTAAACAAAGCCTGATGCAGGATGCGCAGCGCAAACACGTGTATGGCCTGAACATTGCGACACAGCACATTTGTACGGTTCCTCCCCGCAAATTCCTATAAGGAGTTGCGACTTAAGAGGAAAACCCTCCAGTTTCACTTTACGGGAGGAAGGGGAGTGGGTGCACAGAATCATTACACAGTTCCTAGAAAGAGATGCACCGAGTCGGGCGGGAGTCCCTTCTATGAGGAGAGATCGTCGCCGAGCTTATGAGCAGCACTCTGGTCTAACCCCCCAGCTTCGTGTGTCCGCTCTTGGGTGATTCCGGTGAAAACAAGAGAAGAAACATTTTGGGGGCAGGAAAGAAAAACTTCCATTTCCATCAAAATGCCCCATTCGGTTTCGTTCCTGTTGTATCAAACACGACCCCTCCTCTACTTGTCTCCCTTTCCCTCTGCACATTCCTGCACTAACAAAATAAAAACACTGCCGGATCCCCTAGTGTTGGAATCCCACCCCTCGGGCTGGATGTGGAGAAGAAAAGAAACCTTGTTTTTCACGGTCGGGAGACAACAACAGAGGACACGAGCTCCGGAAACACCGACAGAGAGGGAAACATTTACAGTGACAGTATGAAACAATGAGGCATACTGCTAAACTACAAACAAACAAACAAATGCACGAAAGCGGTGATAGGCGCACATGTAGATTTCAACCACAGAGAAGTTACTTACGCATAAACTCCAAGCAGGCGAGACATTTCCCCAAAGCGAGCACAGACCCCTGCATGGACATTTCTCACACAGATTACAGATGCTTTTAACTAAGGGGGGGTAAATCTAACAAGTTTTGCGTATGTTTAAACCGTTCATCCTGTCCCTGCAGCCCGGTCCTTCCACTCCAAAGTCCCTGCAGCTTCACAGCTTCATGAGCTCTCAGAAAGAGGATTGATTCGGGTCAGCGAAGTTTCCCAACCCCCTTACCCAGCAAAATAAATGGGCCAACACCGATGCCAGCCGCCTGCTGCTGGGGTGGCACTGGCTCTGCTGCCAGGGGATTGGTTATTCTGTGTGCTCGGTCAGTGGTGGGCACTGGGCCTGGGACAGAGAAGAACACAAGAGATGGAAGAAAGAAGAGAACGAATGGCACATGGAGACCTAGTTTGAGAGAGGCCTTGGATAGATTTGCAGAGTTGAGAAGGTTTGGGTCACTCAGGTTCGCTGCAGGGATTTTAGATCTGGAATTTGAGTCTTTGTGTTAAAGTCAGACTCCTACTCAAGTCCAAAAGCTTTAGCATCAAAATATTGTCAAAGTACCTAAAGATCTTAACTATTGATTCACTGTATATCACACTTTTATGTTGCAGCTGGAGTTTTATCTACACTGCTCAACAAATCATGGGAACATCACAGCACAATACAAAGTCAGTTACACTTCATGGATAGCAGTGATTCCACATCACCTGCTTTGGTGCAAATCAAAGTGTCAACAACAGCAAAACTTGCATACCATGTTCAGGTTTGAACCTGCCCCAGACATCACGAGCAACGGGTGAATCTGACTGAAAAAAGGAGGACACCACACCTCGTAGGGTAGCCACTCTGAAGCCATACTTTAAATCATTCTGCTTTATAATTCAATAAAAAAAAAGGGGGCATAATTTATAAAAATTAACATAATATGGTGTTAAATAAGGTTTGAAACTGGTGACACAAACTGTTGACCTATCAGAGTGCTCATAAATTGAATAAAAAGTCATTTTCCTAGAGACAATTTGGCTTCTCTTTAAAACAAAACAGTTAATCAAAGTGTTTTTTAAACCACCATCTGTAAAGGAAGTTAATTGAGGAAACAGGTGCTGGTGGATGATTGTGTAGCTTTAACAAAATATAAGTATTGTATCCTTCACAACTGCTGATATTACAGTTACTTTCCAGGCATGTAAAATCCTGAGTTTCACAAACCTGTATGCTGGGTTTTTGCTTCCAAGAAGCCTTTAAATTCGTGGAACTGGTATCCCAAACTAAAACCAGAGTCCTGGATTGTATTTCATGTCTCACAAGTATGTGAAAACAGCTCCACTCCCACACAACCCCAGTGCAGCCCTGTGCTGTTTTTTTTTTTTAATCTAAAAGGCTGTTTAAGAAACCTCCCTTCCCAGCTGCTTCCTTTATGACAGAGCTGTCTTCACAGGTTTCGGGTCACGAGGTTTCTGCTTCTCGCCTATTTGACTTATCACTCTAGTGATCTGGTGAAAACAAAAGGTGACATAGGGTCACAGGGGACTGATAAGAAGAAAGAGGTCAACATCGTTGAGAGTTTCTTTTTATTGTTCAATGCATGGCCACACACATATACTGGTTTTCTTTTGCACAGTGCAAGATGGGACAGTCACTATGGAAATGGTGATGTAGATGGGGTACATTTTAGGAGTTTACAGGGGTCCCACCTTCCTCAGGGAAAAGCCAGCTAGCTCCTTCTCTTTTCTTAGCCTCCACAACGACTAGCTACAACATGAGGCCAATCGGCTTCTAGCTACCCTCCTCACACTAACGTTACACCTCGATAAATAGATTCTAGGCTCCTTTTAATTTTCAGAACTGAAGGTTTGTTTACTTGATCCACGCACGACAGCAACCCCTTTCTTTTCCCTTAAACATTCTTGCATATATCATTCAGATTTAGCTTAGAAAAAGCAAAATAAACAACATCATTTGGGTACAAAAATAAAATCCAAATTAAAACCTTTAACAGGGCAACGCCTGTCATGTGTTTTTTTTTTCCTTTTCTCATAATGAGATAGCACAATACATAAGTCACTGGTCACAAAAGTACACTGCAAATAAAGAAAAACAAAAACCCCAAAAAAAGCCACATAGGAAAGAAACCACTCGCAGAGAAGTCTTCCTCAACCCTTCCTAGAGGCTGACGAGCTACGAGATGAGGGCTGGAAGCCTCGAGCGTCAGGTGAACAGAGCACGTTTTCTCTGTCTCGAAGCTGTCGTCATACAGCCTTGACTTTACAAAAAACACAGCCCCACCAGACTCGCACATTCTTGACCCTGCTTCTCAAATACAGACTGAAGGGAAAGGGGAAAAAGGGAACGGAAATCCAAACCACTGCTCTAAATATCTATATGGATTCAGCTTGAATGTGTTTGTGTGCTCGCCGTTTCTCTCAACACGTATGTACTCGTTTGCTAACATATACAGTGTATTCCTGGTTAGGGAGTGAACCAGGGGCACTTAAAATTGTGTAGCGTCATCCCGCCATTTCCTCACCCCGACCACTAGGGGTCACTCTTTATGTTTAGGATTAGGAGTGGGAGATCTGCTGTTTCTTATAGCGTCGTTTCGCCCGCCTTTCTCTTTTTTTAGTTACTTTTAAAAAAAACATTTTTTTTTAACTCCACTATTCACTTTTCCAACCCTCTAAGCTTTTTAACTCCTCGATCCAGCTTTCTTTTGAGTTGTTTTTTTGCCTTTGGAGACGCAGATACACACAGAGCAAAAGAGTGGGAGAAAGAGAGAGGGAGCAAGTGTTGTGATCGATCAGCTGTTCGCAGCGCCGACAGCTGCTCCCCTTTTGACCTCTCAGCCAATCTCCTTCCACTGACGGTAGAACTCCACGATGTTCTTCAGCTCCATACCTGCTGAGCCAGCCGCCTGGATCGCCGCCTGGTGGAGACAAACGAGGCACGAAGATAAAAACAAAGTATTTCTCAAATTTGTACATTTTTAAGCTCAGTAGGCAGAACTTGTCCACAGTCTGCAAGCGGTGACAAAACTTGTCACCTTCTCAGACCAAAAATAAACTTCACCCACAGACCGAGTGAGTTAAACACACTCTTGCAAGACAGAGTTTTTCCCCTAAATGTTTGCTTCAAATATGCTGAACCCTTCACTTCTCATTTTAGTATTGCCCAGACTGAGGTAACATCCTATGGGCTTCCTGGATGCAGACTTTTTAATGCATTTCTTTACGTTATCATTTTTTATGTTCTTTTTCTATTTTTTGTTCAGCTTTTGGTTTTCCTTTGTTTCCTGCACCACCTCTGCTCCATCTGTTAGCAGTGGTAGATGAGGTGAATGTGGGATGGTGTCTTTGAGGTCAAACTTTCCAGACATTTGTAGCAGATGCAACTATAGTATAAATCTTAGGTGACTTCCTTCTCGAATTACCGCATTCACAAGACTTTCAGAAAACTTGACCTCTGACTTGAGGTTGAGTTCACTGAGATTCAAATACATCCGAGATCTTTAGCAGATACACCTTTGGTATCAATTTGAAGCTCCTATGTCATTCTCGAGTTAACGCAATCACAAATGCCGCGTGCCTGCCCACAGAGGTGACGACAATAGCCTTTTATGGCTGAGCGGTAAAAATTACAACCAAGTCCGACTCCTTTGAAGCAGAAATATTTGAAAATTAGGAGTGACTCAAGACTTTTGCACAGTGCTGTACCTTGGAAAATACTGATCCGTGTTTAACAGTGATGAACACGAAGCAGTGAAGACGGCACTGAAGCCAAAAGAGCAGAAACTAAAGGTGGGAAAGCTCCTGAGTGCTCGTGTCTGTGAGATAAAACATACAGCGAGTTACTGACCTTCATCGCTGCTGACCGAGAGCAAAGCTCCTCTACTTCATGGCCTGTAAGAATGGTCACCATACCGGCTGTATCTTCATCTCCGTTGCTCTGGGAGACTGTTAGCTGACGGCAACTATCCACCATCTTGTACAGATGCCTAGAAACAAGAAAACTGGGTCAGTCAAGCTGGAAGTCATATTCACGGGAACAAATAAGGCGTCAGCAGAAGGGAAGTAGAGCTCACCAGGCTTCGATGTCCTGCCGCTTCAGCTTATCTCTCTCAAAACTTCGACCCGACTCCTTCTGGCAGCGGATGTATCTACAGAGAAAGAAAGAAATACGATTTAAAGAGAGTTTTTATTGAGAAATGTTTCATCTCACAACTTAACCCACCTGTTGCCTTTACGAAATTCAGACTCCAGGAAGCGGATTCCATCCCTCGCACCAGCATTTTCCTTCTTTAACCTGTCAAGTCCATCAATCACTAAAAGAAAAGGGGAGTCCAGATTAAACACCTGGGCAAACAGCAACTCCAGCGCTCAGAAGGTCTGGAGCTTGATTCTGACTCGTACGCTTTGAGCAGACGGCGAATCATAAATGAAGCTAGAACTGAGCTCATTTAATTGTTGTTGTATTTTGTCTCTCTGCGAGTCAGTGAACAGCGACGGGGAGTGCACGGGGGTGGTGCCAGGGGAACAATGTGCCGGCCAGAGATGATTTACTCCACGTGGAATGCAGGTATGCACCCAAACCAATCAGTGACTGGGTCACCCCAAACTGGCACATGTGACCTACTGCTGCTGTCTAGTGTCATTAGTCAGGAAGCAGCTCGGTACACACTAAATAAACCAGAGCTGTCATAACCACTAGTGAGTATTTTTTTTTTTTTAGGGCAACAAATAATTATAAAAGAATCTATTTCCTGTTAATAATCAGTTAATTTTTTTAGGCTAGAAGAAGTTATAAAATAGTGAAGATTGCTTGTAATGTTCAAGAGCCTCAAAAATAACAAGACAAACCAGCAAATACTGATTTTAGAAGTTGTTTGAAATCTTAAATTGATTTTCACGGTGACTGATAATAGGTTTATCAGTTTGTTTCAGCACCACTCATTCCTTTCACAATCTGTGTTACGTTACATGTTACAGCCTGGCTCTAAATTTATGTATTTATCACCTCAAAATTCTACATACAACATCCCATAATGACAAAGTGAAAAAGGTTTGCTTCATGTTGTTGCACACAGTGGCCTTTCTGTACAAAGTCTGTATGGGGAAATGAAAACTCGCCTCCATCTGTGACAAACTCGCCCACAAAAGGGGAAAAAAAGCAACAAGACTGTGTTGAAAATATGTTTAACCTCACTTAGTAAAGAAAGAAAAAAGAAAGAAGAA